CCGCGCGGGCTCCCGCCTCCCTCGCTCAGGGCTTTCCCGCTTGCAGTCGGGACGCCTCCAGCTCCCCGCTCCTGTCCCCCGGATCAGTGCGCCGGGCGGGAGCTGTAATCCTATAAGGTTGCCTTCCAGGGAAAGCTGGGAAGAGGGGCCACTGCTGACAGATCCTGAGCTGGGCAATGAGACCGTGAGACCAAATGTTGAGCTGGTGTCAGCAGCAAATGGTACGCTTCATACAAGATGTGCTCTGCTCCGTGACATCCAGATTTTTTTTCCAGATTCCACAGCCTGGGAATCCTGGAGGCCAGAGAGCCTGGCCAGGACCAGCAGTTCAATCCGCTCTCCTCAGAAGAGTGTTTCAAACTTCCCTGCAAGCGTCACCCTATTCATTTGCCGTTACAGAGTTACCTTTGCAAGTAGTAGTTGGCATTAGTAGTGCACTTTTTTAAGGAAAGCTGGGAATTTTATTATAACTTGGCATGGATGAAAGAGAGCTCACTAGGGTTTTTTGAATGCTCTACAGCTAATAGTTGTGTTTTGAAATTCACCGTAAGGTGCTTCTGAAGCATGTGCAAATATTAAAACTAGATTGAATGTGGCTGGGTTTCATACCTGCAGCTTATTCTCTCCACAGATTTTGTGTGTGTCATTTCAGGTTCATTGGTCACGTTACATTTTATGTAAAGAATACCCAAGCTCTGCAGGCAGGCGCTGGTGAGCGGGGAGGGGGGAGCAATGGAGCCTGTCAGTGCAGATGTCAAAGCCATGTCAACTCCAAGCTCCCCTATTTTGATCGCAGACAGTAACCACTGAAGTACTGATGCCACCAGAGTTGTTTTCAAGCTGCTCAGCAAGAAAGTGGCAAATTCAGCACTGAACGGCACAAGAGCCACTTCTTTGACTGGATGAGACAGGAATATTGTCTTAATGTTGTCTTACGCTCCCGCGCTCTTGCCTCTGGTGCCCAGAGAGCAGCTGCTGCTGCCGCCGCTCTCCTGTTCGCTAGCGGAGCGGCGAACGCCGGCGCCACCCGGCCCCCGGGGCGCTGGTGCTCGGCAGAGTAGCTCCACGGGAGAAAGCCGTCCGTCTTGCCCCAGTGGAGGAATTTGGGGGAAAAAAAATCCTATGATAAAATAGCGCACCTCAGAATAAAATGACTGCTCTCTCAGTGGTCTGGGGTACTGTATAAGGGCATGAGCAAAGCTGAATACTCCGTGGGCTTATTTATCCTTTTGCAAAAAGGCTTTTAGAATAAGAAAACAACAACTTAGCACATGTTGCATGTATGACTTCTCCCATCTCTCTTGAGAGAAGCAGTTCACCTGTCTGGGAAGTGTTATTTGCGTCGTTCTAGGTTTGGTCACCAGAGATGTCCCATTTGTTTTGTGTACGTTTCTGAGTAATCTGACTTTCTAGCTCCTCTCTGTTTCCAGTGCTTCTTCCTTGGTCTGCAGCGTCCTAACAGCCAGCGAGCTGGCTCTTTGACCAAGAAAGGGATGACATGCTATGGAAAGGCTTTTGCATCTCCCGTAGGACTCTCCAGTGCATAAACTTGCATGATACTTTTCCACATAACTGGTGTAGAAGATAAAACTTTGTACCATGAAAACAACCAGATGAAGCCCAATTTCTAGCCTCATTAGTAACCCTCTTTGCCAATAATTAGGAGTTTGGGGACAGCTAACATTGAAATTTCCGTTCTTCTCCAGAATTAATAAAAGAAGTATGATGGGTCTTTGCAGTAGGGCGATGGTTGGTAAAAGCTAATATACAAATCCTGTTAAAACGGGCTCTTAAGGTCTGAACGCTGCAGCATTATTAACCATTGACCTGACTCGGCTCTCCGGTTCCCGGTTCCCAGTGGCGGCGCACCATGTACTTCAATTGCAGTGGCATTAAATTCTTGAGTTGTGACACATGGGTACTGGAGCGAGCACTGCAGGGTCTGTAAAGCCTTGTGCGCAAAGGGATTACTATGTACGGCAACCTAAGGGCACTTGGGGCCGGAATAAGAGCCTCCCCATGGGGTTTAATGTGCTTTAATTTCTGAGAGAGGAGTTTACACCTTTATTTGAGTTTCTTAACTTTCCCGCTCATCTTCCTGAGGCCAGACTCAGCAAACACGTTTTTTAAGGCATAAATATACCCAAACCTGAAGCGTTGCAGCGCCTACCTTGCATTAAGACAAACAATTCAAGCTTTTAGTCCCGTGAATGAAAGCTTCCCAGGCCAAGCGCCTTCCCGTTCTTGGCTGTGCTCCTGTTTGCTTCTAGTAATCGTGTGGGGTGGCGGGCGGGGGGCCACCTCCACTCCGGCCCCAGGCCCCCCCGGATCTCCTCAGGGCTCCGGCTCCGGGCTGGCCGCCCCC